GGAAGGATGGATGGATGGATGGATAGAAGGTTGGATGGATGCATGGATGGATGGATGGATGGATGGATGGATGGATGGATGGATGGATGGATGGATGGAGTTTAAGGAGGCTTCATGTTTGGTGTTCATAATGATTTGGAGGTAAACCATCAGATCTGATGAAGATCCTCCTCCTCCTCCTCCTCCCAGTTACTTCAGGATGTTTTGGGTCCATAAGCTCTGCAGATGTTTGGATGTTTTGTTCTCTGAGAGTTGCTGGAAGCTTCAAACAGACGTTCTTCTCTCAGCTCCAAGGTCATCGGACAAATGACAGAAGTTTTATTGTTCAGCAGAACTTTCAGTTTTCAGCTGGAGCTCCAGCCAGATGTTGAAGGACCTGCACTTCTTCACGTCTTTAAACGTTTCAAACGTTCAGATTTCTAAACGTCGTCTGAACTTTGAGCTGGTTTTCAAACTGAAAGTTCAGCAGCAGCTCCGCTTCGCTCAGCGGGGAGATAAGAGCAGGACTTCGTGTTCTGGGTGGCGCAACATCCTGGCGCCGGTCCGGAACTTTCCTGGCGCTGGTCCAGAACTCAGTGGAAAACATCAGTCAGAGCCAAAGTTCTTCATAATCTGAAGCAGATCCTTCTGAGCCGCAGCAGAACCTCAGTCTGAACAAACAAACTTGCAGTAACAGGTTCTGGTTCTGGTTCTGGTTTCTGTGGTTCTGGTGGAGCTGGGTCTGGAACCACCCAGATTTCCCTCTGGATTCATCTGAACCCATTAGACTGTTGGAGTCCAAACAGGAAGTTCATTTAAGAGCTGGACCTACAGATCCTTCAAGTTTTCTCTTTTTACTTCATCTTCAAATTTATCTTTTTGAAGTGGAGGGAAAAAGCCCAGATTGTTCAGAACCAGAACCCAAACAGAACCTCCATCATTCAACAGAACCTCCATCACTCCTTCTCTCTGCCTTTTGCATCAAACAAGGCTGATATTTCCCAGAATCCTCGGCGGCAGCTCAAAGATAACGTTGTTTTTGTCAGGCTGCAGTCAGAGCGCGTGATGTTTTCTTCCTGTTTGTGCAGAACGATGCAGACGGTGCCGAGTCCAGTCCGGACACTAAAGAGAGGCCGGCAGGCCCGGTTCAGGAAGACTCCCTGCTTCACTTCCTCAAAAGTAAGAGTCTGTCCGTTTCTGTTTCCTGTCTGACGAGGTCGAGCCACACTCGTCAGGGGTCAAGTTTCATCACGATGGAGAGAAATCATACGTCTTTAAATCTGGTTGAACTAAAATAAATAATAAATAAATAAATCTGATTTAATTTCCTGACCGAGACATTCATCTGTCATTTCCTCATTTAAAGTATTTATGAGTCATGAAACTCACCAGAGTTCAGCTCCATTCCATGAAGGATATTTTTAAATTACATTTTACATATTTCTTCTGAAGAGAACATTAATATCTGACAAAAAATGAAGTGAGAAATGTAGACGAGTTTCATGTTTGTGGACGTAAAGCTCAAAGTGCAGACAAAACACAAGACGAACTCCTTTATTTACAAAAACTAAAAGCAACACTTACGAAGGACAAACACCTGGAGAGAGACGAGCATCAGGACAGCAGCGGAACAACGAGGGGGAAAACTGCAAAACAAGTCTTCTTCTTCTACTACTTTTTTTCTTGTTTTGTCTTTTCCCTCTTCAGAGGTCTCCACAGCGAGTCCTCCTCCATCTCACTCTGTCCTCTGTGTCCTCTGTCCTCACTCTGCAACTACCTCCATGTCCTCTCTAACTGCATCCATATGTCTCCTCTTTGTCTTTTTCCTGCACCTGCATTTCTAACATTCAACCAATATACACACTGTCCCTCCTCTGGACGTGTCCAAACCACTGTCCCTCCTCTGGACGTGTCCAAACCACTGTCCCTCCTCGGGACATGTCCAAAGCACTGTCCCTCCTCTGGACATGTCCAAACCATCTCAGTGTGTCCTCTCTAACTTTATCTCCCAGTTGTTCAACCTGTGCTGTACCTCTGATGATCTCATTCCTGATCTTCTCCATCCTTGTCTCTCCTAGGGAGAACCTCAACATCTTCATTTCTGACACTTCCAGTTCTGTCTCCTGTCTTTTTGTCCATGTCTCTGTCTCCTGTCTTTTTGTCCATGTCTCTGTCTCCAGACCATACAACATAGCTGGTCTCACCACTAATAATAATAATAATGAATTTAATTTGTAACGCACTTTTCATTAACAAAATTGTTGATGTGTTCATGCGTGCACATCTGCTCACAGACTCATGTTCATGTTTGTGCTGATGTTCAATGTTTTATGTTATGAGTGCTTAGTGTATATTTAGTTGATGTTTTTCTTAGTTCATATCTTAGAAGTTATTACTGTTTTTCTTATACATTTTATTGTTGGATGTAACTGGGACCCTGTGTACATAATTTCGCTCCACCACATGTACCACATGAGGTGCGAATGACAATAAAGAAACTCTGACTCTGACTCTGAAAAATCTCAAAGTGCTACAGAGTGCAACTAAAATCAATGATAAAATCAACTAAAATCAATGATACAATCAACTAAAATCAATGATACAATCATGTGGAGGCAGAATAGGCTTGCTTAAAAAGAAAAGTCTTTGAGACTTTTTTAAAGTCAGTCAATGATTGTGGAGCTCTCAGATATTCAGGGAGGGAGTTCCAGAGGTGGGGGGCAGCCACACAGAATGCCCGATCTCCCATGGTTCTTAATTTAGTTCGTGGCAGGTGGAGGAGATGACTGTTCTGTGATCGTAGGGACCGGGTGGATGAATATGGAACAAGAAGGTCCTTCAGATAATCTGGTGAATTTCCGTATAAACACTGACGGGTAATGAGAGCAATTCTGTACTGAATTCTGTAGGTGACAGGAAGCCAATGGAGGTTATGGAGAATGGGTGTAATATGTTCAAATTTACGAGCTCTCAATAAAATCCTGGCTGCACTGTTTTGAATATATTGAAGCTTCTGAAGGTTTTTGCCGGGGATTCCAGTAAACAGGGAGTTGCAGTAATCGAGCCACTGTCTTGTAAACTTTTCCTTTAATCTTTCCTGACACACTTTTGTCTCAAATCGCTCCGGAATCTTTTCTCCATCACTCCATCCTGCCTGGACTCTCTTCTTCACTTCTTCACCACACTCCCCATGTTCCTGGACAGTGGACCCCAAGTCCTTGAAGTCCTGCACCTTTGTGACCTCTGCTCCTTGTAGCCTCACTGTTCCACCTCCTCCCTCTCATTCACACACATGGACTCTGTCTTACTACGGCTGACTTTCATTCCTCTACTCTCAACTGCATACCTCCACCTCTCCAAGTTCTCTTTCACCTGTTCCCTGTTCTCACCACAGATCACAATGTCATCTGCAAACGTCATAGTCCACGGGGATGCAATTCAATTCAACTCAGTTTATTTATAAAGTGCCAAATCACAACCAAGTTTTCTCAGGGACTTTACAGGAACATTCACATAAAAGACAATTAGTAAAGTTCTCTATCTAAGGAATCCAGCAGACAAGTTGAATCTTGGCTTCGTTGCAGTCTCCCATCCTGAGCAAGCACAGTGGAGACAGTGGAAAGAAAAACTCCCTTTAACAGGAAGAAACCTCCAGCAGAACCAGGATCAGGACAAGAGACCATCTGCTTTGACCGGCTGGTTGAGAGGACAGGAAGGAGAGACAGACGAACACAGAATGGTAGGTCCAGGTATAGGTATAGGTCCAGGTCCAGGTATAGGTCCAGGTCCAGGTATAGGTCCAGGTGTATCAGAAAGACAAAAAAAAACACATGTTAAGGATAGAAAAAAATAATTACAAATACAAAACAGGTTGAGCAGAGTAAATAAAGACAGTAGCAGAGTGAAAAGTGTGGTCAGTTTGTCCTCCAGCAGTCTAAGCCTATAGCAGCATAACTAAGGGACATCTCAAGAAACCCAAGCCGACCCTAACTATAGGATTTATCAAAAAGGAAAGTCTTGATCCTAGATTTAAAACTGGATAATGTGTCAGCCTCACGGACAGAAACTGGAAGTTGGTTCCACAAGAGAGGAGCATGAGAACTGAAAGATCTTCCTCCCATTCTGTTTTTGTAAACTCTAGGAACCACAAGTAAACCTGCAGTCTGAGAGCGAAGTGCTCTGTTAGTAAAATATGGAACAATAAGATCTGTAATATAAGATGGGGCTAGGTTGTTGAGAGCTTTGTAGGTTAGAAGTAAGATTTTGGATTCTATTCTGGATTTGACAGGGAGCCAGTGGAGAGAAGCTAAAACTGGAGAAATATGATCTCTCCCAGTAACTCCAGTTAAGACTCTGGCAGCAGCATTTTGGATCAACTGAAGACGTTTTAAAGAAGTATTTGGACACCCAGATAATAAACCATTGCAATAGTCCAGTCTAGACGTGACAAATGCATGGAGCAGTTTTTCTGCATCATCTTTAGATCAGATGTTTCTAATGTTAGTGATATTACGCAGGTGGAAGAAGGAGGTTCTAGTAACGTTTTTAATGCGGGGGATAAAAGACATGTCCTGATCAAAAATAACACCAAGATTTTTAACATTAGAGCTGGAGGACAGATTAATGCATCTAAGGAGGGAGAAAGACTGAAACATTCATTCCTAAGGTGCTCAGGTCCAAAAACCAAAACCTCAGTCTTGTCTGTTCAACAGGAGAAAATTAAGGTTCATCCAGATATTTATGTCTTTAAGACATGCTTGTAGTCTAAGTAGCTGATTGGATTCATTGGGTTTAATGGACAAATATAATTGTGTGTCATCAGCATAACAATGAAAAATTTTCCCATGTTGTTTAATAACTTTACCTAAAGGAAGCATATATAAAGTAAAGAGTATTGGCCCAAGCACTGAGCCCTGAGGAACTCCATGACTAACTTTGGTGTATGAAGATTTATTATTTACATTTACAAACTGGAATCTATCAGATAAATATGATTTAAACCACTTTAGAGCTGTTCCTGTAATTCCAACATCATATTCAAGCCTCTGTAGTAAAATATTGTGATCAACTGTATCAAATGCAGCACTGAGGTCTAACAGGACCTCACTGTCATCTCTCCAAGACATTTCCAAACCTCCACTGGTCATCAGGTCCTACTGCCTTCTCCTTCTTCATTCATTTCAGAGCTTTTTGGACTTCACCCTCGCTAATCTTTCCTACTTCCTGGTCCACATTTTCTATGACCTCTACTCTTCTTTCGCTTTCATTCTCTTCTTTCATTAGCTCCTCAAAGTTCTCCTTCCATCTTCCCGTCACACTCTCCTCACTTGTTAGAACATTACCATTCCTATCTTTAACAAGCCTAACCTGCTGCACATCCTTTCCAGCCTGATCCCTCTGTCTCACCAATCGGTATAAGTCCATCTCTCCCTCTTTAGTGTCCAGTCTCTCATACAACTCATCATACACCTTCTGCTTTGTCTTAGCTACTTCCCTCTTTGTTTTTCATCCCATCTCCTTATATTCCTGTCTCCTCTCTTCAGTCCTCTCTCTGTCATATTTCTTCTTGGCTAACCTCTTTCTTTGAACAGCTTCCTGCACTTCACTATTCCACCACCAGGTTTCCTGATTGTCCATTCTCTGTCCAGATGACACACCAAGTACCTTCCTACCTGTTTCTCTAATTACTGTTGCTGTAGTAGTCCACTCATCTGGAAGCTCTTTCTTACCACCCAGAGCCTTTAACAGTGCCTCTCTGAATTTCTCGCAACATTCTTCCTCCTTCATCTTCCACCATTTTTTCTTCTTCTCTAATTTTACTCTCATTTAGCATCAAACCTTCTACTTCTACCTTCAGACACATCACCCTATCTGACACTCTTTTCACCTCTACTACATTTTTTATCAACTCCTCCTTCAGGACCCCCCCTACTCCATGTCTCTTTCTATCCACACCATGGTAAAACAGTTTGAACCCTGCTCCAATGCTGTGAGCCTTGCTGCCCTTCCACTTGGTCTCATGGAGAAATAAAACATCTACCTTCCTTCTCAGTATCATGTCAGCCAGCTTTCTACCTTTGCCTGTCATTGTCCCCACATTTAGAGTTATAACCCTCAGTCCTACATTCTTCACTTTCCTCTTCTCCCTCTGTTTCCTGACATGTTTCCCTCCTCGTGGTCTTCAACTAACAGTAGCACATTTTCCACCGTCACCCAGTTTGTCAACCGCACCGATGGCGGTCGTTGTGTTAACCCGGGCCTCGACCGATCTAACGTGGTTTCACTTTGACGAACTCGCATTATTGTTTTGGCAAAAGTGTTTTACATCGGATGCCCTTCCTGGCACAAACCTTAACATTTACCCGGGCTTGGGACCAGAACCAGAGATACAATGGCTGGTGCTCCCTAGTGGCTGGTTTTAAAACCGCAACACAAGAGCAATTTAGAGCTCTGTGTGTTTTTTTTTTTATTATTTTATTTACTTTATGTACTTATGTTGAAAACTGCAATACAAATAAATAAAACAACCAGAGCCCTGAATGTTTCTGCAGATCCTGGAGCAGCTTCTGGATCCAGACTTTATGTCCAAAGCTCCATCTAGGACAGTGATGGACGTCAGGGGGAGTTTGGGGGTACAAAGAATTCTGGTTTCATATTTTGTGGGAATGAAAAAACTGAATTGTGGTGGGTTTTTTTCAAACTAAAGGCCGTTGAGTGGTTTAAATATTTAAATAAAGTTGTTTAAATTTGACATTATTGTAATTGATTAGTTTATGTAATAAAACAGTTTTCCTCCAGCCGTCTTCGTGTGAACAGAATGAACCCATTAGACGTGACACTTTGTTCCTCTGGTTCCCCTTCAGGTTTTCCAGGTATCGCCATGCGGACTCTGCAGACTCCCGTCTACCTGCTGGTGGTTCTGGCCCAGGTGAACCTGGCGGCGCTGTTGTCGGGTCTCGCCACCTTCATGGCCAAGTTCGTCGAGAAGCAGTTCACTCAGACGGTGCCGTTCTCCAACATGATGATAGGTGGGTCTGATCAGAACCTGTGTTTGGGTCAAACGGTCTCCTGGTGTTTGGGGCTGGATGAACCTCAGTCAGAACCAAAACCATCCCATCTCTTTTAGGAGGAGTTAGCATCCCGCTGGCGGTCCTGGGGATCGTTCTAGGCGGAGCTATAATGCGGAGGTTCAATCTGTCGGTCAGCGGCGCCAGCAAGCTGTGCACGGTGGCCATCTTGCTCTGCATGTTCTCCGCCCTCCCGCTGCTGCTGATTGGCTGCCCCACTCAGAAGATCGCCAGGGTCTTCCCTCCCAGGTAACCTTCAGCATCCTGAAGAGTGGAGGAAGAAGTTTAACATCACCAGGTGCAGTGGTTGAATGGGGGTGGCACTGGTGGCCTTGGCCCCCATAGATTAGGCCATAGGCCACCCCAATGATTTGATGAAACTTTACTTTTATAAAATCTAGAAAGCAGAGTTTCCTCAAACAATCAGGGCGGCTTGTTTACATATATATAGAGTAGTCCCTCGTTTATCGTGGGGGTTTGGGACCACGCCCCCACAATTAGTGGAAAACTGTGAAGGAGGGATACAGTAGTTCAAAGTCAAGTTCAAGTAAACTTTATTGTCATTACCGTCTCATGTGGTACATGAGATGGAACGAAATTATGTACACAGGTAGTAGTAACTTGTTTCAGTATTTATATACAGATGTAAGGCATTTAAACCCTTCCCACACTCATGCAATGTTCCTAACCATTTTCTAAACTCTAAACGTTCTAAAAGAGCACAGCATGTCTTGATCTCTGCCACGCCCACTTCTCTGCAGCAGACGAGTCACTGGTTTCAGTTTTGGAGTGAATGTTGATGCTAGAGGAACACAGGAAGTGATGTAATCTCTGACCTGTAAATGACGTCACACTTGACAGGAAACAACATTTAGGACTAGATTCAATTCATCCGGTTTGTTCCGGTCACTTCTGTGGTTTGAGCTTTGAGAGGAACAGAACATCTCCAGGCCTTAAAGAAGCGTCATCATGTTTACTGAACAACATCTGGCTCCTCTGAACAGTTTCAGTGAATTGTTGTTGTTATTGTTGTTGTTGTTGTTGTTGTTTCACTAGCCTGAAGGAAAGCTGTCCTCCTGCGAGGGCACCATTGGAGATGTTTGTTTTCCTGAGACTCTGTCGACAGTCTGGTTTGTGGCCATGAGGCCACGACACGAACTGAAAATAAAAAGTCGGGTCAGATTTTAACTCGTGGTTCTTTGGGTTGGTTCCGGGCACTTTGTGTTTTCAGCTCTTCAGACTGCAGTTCTGCCTGTCAGTGTCCAGAGGAGGCCTTTAACCCGGTCTGCGGTTCTGACGGGGTGGAGTTCCTGTCTCCGTGCCACGCCGGCTGCTCGTTTGTGGAAATGACCTTCATCAACAGGAAGGTGATCACGGTAAGATGGTTCTGGTTCTGGCTGCTGGTTCTGGTTCTGTCTGCTGGTTCTGTCTGCTGGTTCTGGTTCTGTCTGCTGGTTCTAGTTCCGCTCCATTTCTTGAGTCCAACTGAAAACTGAATATTTTGAGTTAAAACATTAATTTTCTTCAGGACTGAGAAACAAACCTGTTACATTTCAAAACATGATCCTGATTTAAAACTTCCTGCCCCCTGGGCTTTTATTCTGACAGTCTGTGTCTTCCTGCC